ATTATTATATTTAATTTTATAAAAAATACTACTATCCCAATTATTATTATAATTATTAATTATAATATCACAACTATATTATATTATATTATATTATATTATATCATAATATCACAACTATATTATATTATATTATATTATATCATAATATCACAACTATATTATATTATAAGATAAAATTATGTTATAATATATAATATTATTACAAAATATTAAATAAATATATTATAATTTTTAATTATATTATCTTGTAATATTTTTATTATATAATCACGTGACCACATTTAATCCCGTAACTAATTTTTATTGTATTATTATAATTATATTATACAATTTTTAATCAATTTTTGAATTTCTATTAAAAACAAGTAGATAAAATCTTCTATATCATGTAATGATGGATATTGTGTGGTCATGTAATGATGGAATCAATTAACTATAAAACTATAAAATTAATATAACTATAAAATCACGTGACCACACTTAATCTCTTATTTTTTATCTAATTTTAACAGAATTTTTTACAAAAGAATTTAAATGGGACAAATTTAAAATTCAAAAGACAGTGAGAATTCTCAAAACTTAAACGATAAAGTGGGAATAATATTAATCTTTAAAACTAATAAAATTAATCTTTAAAATTCAAAGGACACTAATAAAATTAATCTTTTTTTATTTTGACAAATTACACATTTTCGTCTGAACTATAAGTCTTATTATAAAATGTCGTCCAAACTTTATTTTTATTTTTTATTTTTTCTTTCTAAACATCAACAAACTCTTGTAAATTTTCCCCTAAAAAAGAAGGCATAAATCTTATCTAGCCCATTGACGAATTGGAACCACCCATCTGGTACCTTGTTATGACTGAAATATAAGCATAGCACATGCGCTTGCATTCATCTGTCAACTCAGAATTTATTTCCCTTTTGTAGCAAAAAAAATAAAAAATAAAAAATAATGACATGCCCATTGGATTCCATTAATTACTTGCCAAACACGTTGTAGACTTTGCATGTGTTGGCACGTGTAGGTGCAATATTAATGTTACCACGAATATATGCAAATTTGCTTTCAACTTTCCCATATATTTGAGCATGAACTATGGACCATATTCTTTTGTGGAATCGGAATGATGTTCTCTCTTGTAATTATACTTGATAGTTTTACTTTGTCCTTATCAATTTATACAAAGAAGAATTTCATAGGCAGTTGTTTAATTGTAAATTATAATATGTATTTCGAAAATATACATTATAAGTGTTTACACGTAATAAAAGTACACACAACATTCATGAGATGTAAATTTTCTTGTATTTCTAATTTCTAAGGAACTATTATTCAAATTAGGCCTTTTTAGGGAAATCATTTGATATGCTTGTAGGAAAAAGTTTAATAGGTATTTCATGTCGTTAATTATTTGATTTTGTCTTTGTTACCGAAGAAATGTCAGTCCAAATGTTAAAAGAATAGATCCTGTACTCAAAATTGTTGGATATTGTTCTCTAAAAAAAAAGAAATGATGGATAATGTGGTGCATGGAATTTCTGAAACTTATCTAGAATTTAAGAAAGAGTGACAAAAAGCTTCCCAATATTCAAAGATGACGATGTAAAAAGAGAAAAGTGGTACAAATTAAAAAATGCTCGTTGCAAGCACTAATTTCGATTCAAATGGTCACAAGCTATAGAAAAACATTATGGCTGCGTTTGGTATTATTTTTCACTCTCAAAATCAGCTTTTACTTGTAATAAAAGCTGATTTTAGTGTTTAATAAATCTCCTCAAAAGTATTTTTTAAAGAATTTTTGAAGAATTTACAGCTAAAATTAAAAACAGTCAAAATACAACTTTAGTTTTTAGATTGGGCAGAAATTAACATAGTACAATTAATAAAACTTTCATAATACCCATAACCCTTAATGAAATTTAAAATTTACAATATTTTCAATCTAAAATTCACTCGTAATATAATATAATATAATAATACAATAATATAATATAATGTAATAGTAATATTGTAACCAATAAGATCATAATTATATTAATAACTCTAATATTATTATTTTATCATATAACGTGATATTATAATAATATTATAATTATTATAATAATATGATATTATAATTATTATTTCATAATAATATTATATATTATATTGTATTGATATAATAATTATATATTATATTATAATATAGTATATTATATTATATTATGTTATAATATAATATAGTTGTAATTTTTAATTATATTCTAACTGAAATATTATTATTTCTTATGTAATATTATACTCGGCGGGCTTCTCTCCTCCATATTCTCTGCTTAGGGTTTTCGACGGTAATCGGTGGAATCAACTCTGCTCTGCCTCTGCTCTCCAAAATCAATCGAGGTATGCCTATTAATTTGGTGATTTAAGTGTTTAGATTGGTTTTGTAGCAAGAATGCTCTATGATTTACTTCCTCTATTATTGATTTGATCATTCAAAAAAAAAAATGCCACTTGATATCTTCATGGATATAATCCTTTTTCGCTCTGAAAAACACCAGCCCATGAATGTTAACACTACACCTTCAAAACGTTTTACTTTTGGGTTGCTCTACTAAGAGATAGCTAAAGAAAATATAATTCTGCTACTTCAACCTATTTCATCATTCTTAAACATTCTTAAAAAGTAAGCAGCGGCTGCTGCTGCGTCAAATGGAGTTGTGTCTGTCATCTTGTTTCAGCCGCAAAAATATGCTAAAATGTAATGTGATCAGTTGCTAGCATTTTTCCCGAAGGCAAAGGTCGGTTATTTTTCAAGCCCGTTATGATTTTCTGATGACTTGTGGGATTTAGGCCGGTTGTGTTCATATTTATGTTTGTGGAGATTGTTATTTGTTGTTTGTTGATAGTGCTTAAACCTTAAGGCAGATTAACAATAATGTTTGTTTTCCGGTTGAATTATATTCAAACTCTCTAATTTGTTAATGTTGGTGTTCGGTTGGATTTGTTAATGACTTCTTGTTTGCTGGTTGGTAATTTATGTTTACTAAGTTATTTTATTTTAAATTATTTACTATTCATTTATAATGTAATTTAAATTATTATATTAATTATTAAAGTTTTTATTTAGAATTCAATTATTATTTATTTAATATATTATTATTTAAAATACTATTATATATTTTTAAAAAATTAAACCACCAAATGCAGTTTTAATTTTTTTTTTCAAATGAAAACAATCTCATAATAAAATTACTTAATGCATTTTCAGAAATAATTTTAAAATAAATAAAAACGTTTTTATTTTTATTTTTATATAAAAAATAAAATCACTTTAAAATGAGTTCCAAACATACACAAAAAGTCACGCGGCACATTCGTGACCCACCAAACAGTGGGACCAATTTTTGTGTCGTTGCCAAGAAAATGTAAAGTCATGGATCAATTTGTTGAAATTAATATATACCTTCGTCGTCCCTCGTTTTCCCCTCTCTCTCTCTCTCTCGCTCCTCTCCACCAGTTTCTCTCTCCTCGCGCGCTTCCTCTAATCGGGTAAATTGATCTCCTTTTT